CACACACACACACACACACACACACACACACACACACACACACACACACAACGAGATGACAGTCAACTGACACCGACAGACAGAGACGGACAGACAGGCAGGCAGCCAGGCAGGCGGACACAGAGAGAGAGAGAGAGAGAGAGAGAGAGAGAGAGAGAGAGAGAGAGAGAGAGAGAGAGAGAGAGGAGACTGGAAGACGATGTTGATTCAGCGAGTTCCGTAGGACCTACCACAGTCGCTAAGTGAGTAGGCTTCCCTGCTCCTTGCTCATTGCTCCTGAGTCAATCTGACCATCGGTTGTTGAGCTGCGATAACAAGATCCAAGCCAAGCCCTCGGCGCAGACAGCGAGGACCGCGAGACCCGCAAGGTTCCGCAGGCAGGGACTCGCAGCCAATTCCAAAACCGAACCCATTGGCGTAATCTCAGTGTCAGTTGGTCCACCCATGTAACTGTTGAAATGCAGTCCCGTGTTCGAATCCCCGATTCGAACTACCCGTCTTCCCCCGAACACAACGCACCCTGATAGCGACTGTATGCAAGCTATTTTTCCGGTCCGGCGCTTCCAAAATGAGGGTGCGTTGTGTTCGGTGGAAGGTGGTAGATGAACCAAAACCGCCGTCCATCCAGGTCTGTGTCGTTCACCGCGCCCGGACAACCTGTGGTTCACTCACCCGCCGCTCTCTCGCCGCACACCCGCTGCTCTCTCGCCGCACACCCGCCGCTCAAGCTCACGACGACGACGCTACCGGTCCACGTTGACGAGAAAGATTGGCGGCGCCCGAGTTCCACACTTAGGGCCAGATCCCACTAGCCCCTATTGTTCATTTCTGACCGTCGATCTTCGTAATCGAGGGTGAAAAATGAATAATCCAGGGTACTGGGATCTGAACCTAAGGCGATGGAAGTTGAGATAGCTCTAGTGTGAGTATTTAAACGCGGGTGCGGCGTATTTAAACGCTTTTACGGCCACGGCTGATGCACACGACAGCAATTACGTCCACATGGAAATTGAAAAAGTCCTGCTGTGAGTATGCCGTCAGTAGTTTTCGAGCGTTGATTGTCTAATAGGAGCCGACCGTCCGATATTGCGAGTCCCATCGCGCAGCATTGGCCGAGTCATCGATCTCTGCCGTCATCATTTGATTGTTCGGGCCATCGGATTCGCATAGGCTCGAAAAGTACTCTCTGCGACGAGCTGCTTTTTTTTTTTTTTTTTTTTTTTTTTTTTTTTTTTTTTTT